CCGCTAGGGTTCCCTAAATAATAAAAGGATTATTATTGTGGTTCCAGTGTTGGGGTTGCACTCAGAACTTCCATTTGGCTGGAGGTAGGATTCTACGAAATGGCTCCTTGTAGATGCAACGATAGACTTGATACAAAAGTATTCTGTCTACAAATCACGGCGGTGTTAATTATGGGCATTACCAGTTATATGTCACAAAATTTCGCAGTGGTCGGTTCACCAGAAGTTCTTTGTAGCGACCATAATTGAGTGGTTTTGACTAGTGCAAAGACATTGTGTAATTCCTAGTTAGGTTCAAAGTAGAGTTAAGAACAAAAGTTTAGTTCAACATGAAAGGAAAGTTCAAGAATTTCCGGTCCCTTTGGTGACCTTCTTCTCTGAAGAACTCCCATGATTTTTCTGCCCAAGTATTCATTAAAATTTGTTGTCGCTAACTAGCCGTTGTAAAAGAAAGTGTTATTAATTGCAGTTATGTTTCTGTTGAAGACGTCTAGGGGGGCAGGCAACATTTACGGTGAATATCAGAGGAGATGCTTATCTCAATGCGGCGCCACTTGTCGACAACTACCTGTTTCGGGGCCTAAGAAAGACGCCAAGGCTATCAAAGCGAAGGCGCCATCGAATTGAGGCATCGACAACGACGACGACGACAACGACGACGATGAAGGCAATTACGATGAAACGTCAGATCAAATGCGGGGATTATGTTAGTTGTTCATAGGATTACAGGGGATTACTGCGCGCTCGGCAGGTGTAAAACGGACCACCCAGAAACTTTTGACCTTCAGAACTCTTCTAGGCTTCTGTAAATGGGATAGGGCAGGAGTTTCCTTGATATCCAAGCGGTACAGACTGAAACAGTCTTTCGGATTAGGCAAGGGATGAGGATGGTTTCTGATTGATTCGAGTATTCCTCATTCGACTTCAGCCTTAACAACCTACCATTAGTTGGTCAGTAAAAAGAAGGTGAGGACGCCAGACTACACGGTTATAATGCAGATGGCTCCCCTCTCTTGCCATGTAGAGTGGGTAAGAGGAAAAGGAGTTTTAAGTTTTCCAACTTCTGAAATTATGGGGTCAGTTGTTGGTTAGTTCTTCAATTTTCATTGATAATCTTTTCCAGTCCTTTGTGGTACTCTCTAAAAAGAACAGTTAGTTTCAGGTTTACCCAATTTCTAAGAAATCCACCAATGTTAAGTTCTCTTCCTCTCTTGAACATTATTGTTAGCAGCATTCTGAAAAGAGAATTTATCGCAAGGGAAGATGGTGCTGATGATGAAGTTCCAGAAAAATGAAGCCTTTGTGACTTTGAACAACAGCTGGAAGTGATTGGAAGGTAGTAAGTTATCGGCATTTCACTTTTTTGGTAGAAATCTTACCTATGGTTGGATCAGGTTGGATCTGACAGTGTGGATTTGCACTCATTCAGGATCTGGAAGTTGGGATGGGCTTAGTTCCCGTCTACACCCACGCTTTCGACTTTTAAGCGGAATCGTTACGGTGATTTGATGCTTACGAGGCTTGTACAATGACTTGAAATTGGATGCTTTCATCGTTCTGAACGAGTCTATCATCAGTTTTGGGACCTCGAGATGGTAGACTCGATGCCTTGGACGTAATGCGTTCCGGGATTTGATCTTCGGATCTGCTCATGGTTTTGGCCCCATGTGGCTCAAGAAGTTGGGTATTCCTCTAGACTCACCGATCACTCAGGGTTTTCAGACTCTGATTGTCTTCTCGCTCCGGGACTGTTGAACAAGCGCCTGTTTTCTGGCTGATAGTTAATCCTGGTCTCTTTCTTCGACGATCAAGATTGGTGCAGCTTGGACCCCACTTTTAAAGTGGGATTTCTTCTTCGGTGATTACCGTTAATCAAAAGAAGGAACGGATTAGAAAAGGGTGAAATTCTTCCGAATAAAGAGTTCTGCGTGGAGCCTCGCGAAAAGCTAACAATTAGCTCCTTCAGTAATGATCCCGTAATCTGCATTTTCGTCAATTTTCATTGCCCATTTGTCGTTTTTCTAAAGCAGTTTTCATTAATTTATCGATTCTCTAGATTTTATCTTCATCGTTCATTGCATGCGGTAACTGATCGCCTTCAAACGGTAGTATCCTCGTAGTCACGTAGATCTGATAGAAAGTTGAATTTTGGGTAAAATTAGCGCAAAAAGGGCTTCGTCGAATTCCCTCTTTTCCAACGTATACGTTCGTCATCAATTTCTTGGAAAGCTAATATCGCTGGAAACGTTCTAAGAATGACAAGGGGTACAATCTCACTGTTCGAATGTTGTCGTCTAATTTCTCTTAATTGACCATTACTGCTGACGGCTGTCTGATAGCTACCGTAATCGGAATTATTCATTTGTGAGCCTGCTAATTCGCCCTGCCACCCGACGACATCAATTAGCGCTGGGCGTGGCCCGGGGAGCTGATTGGTGGGCGAGCCGTGGAGGGGCGGGATGTGCTGATTGGCAAGGACCACGCGGTGCGCAGATCGCACTCTCCCCCTCGTCCTCCTTGTCGCCGACGACGTCTTCGTTATCGCCATGCACGAAAAACTCAAATTTGGCATCGACTCGATACTCGATCCGTGCTTTGGCAGGACGTCCGTCGAAAAGGACTCATCACTGGATTTGAAGATTCACGATCAACACAGTCCTTCCACCGCCATCAGCCCATGTTCTTCGTTTGGTGCCAGTCCACCAGCACCAGTCATCGACAACCGAGCCTTGTTTCCTGCATGGGTATTCTGCACCAGATACTCGGATCGTCCATCATCTGGTGAGGAATTTTACTACTTCATAGTGTAGAGGATATGGTTACATCCCCTCTCTATTTTGGTACTACATTTTCCCCGGAGTCTCGTAGGGCTAGATTTTGGTTTGCCTTTTTCAGTTCTGTGGCTTTTTTTGAGTAGCAGTTTTTGATGAAGGAAGGGAAGTAATCGAGAAGGGGCAGCGGAGAAGAAAAGATTCGCAGAGCGGCTGCAGAGTTGTAAATATAGAAAGTTACGGTAGACATCGACTACGAGTGTATTTTACGTACGTGTGAATTGCGGCCAAAAAATCTTAAAAGGGAGATTTCATCAAAAATTCCTGTCGAATCTGTAGCGTTTTTAGGGCGATGCTTATTAAGACAGTTTTGGAGATAACTAATTTAGATTTCCCGGAAAAATGCAACTTCATCTTGCCCTTTTTCTCTCTTACGAATAGTCTTAAAAATGTGAAAGTGTGGAAATTTTGTGACTTCTTTTTTAAAGATTCAATCCGGGTCTGTAGTAAGGGATCAAGTAAGAAAGAAGGAAAGGAAAGGATCAATGAGATCAAGAAAGGGGGGCCCTGTTGGAGGCAACATGTTTCGTTGGCCAGTTATTGTAAAAGATTGACCCTCGGAATTAGGCCCTGTCTCTGGGTGGGCAGCGAGATGGTGACAGTCAATGTTATCAAGTTGATCATAATTGGTATCAAGCCGTTTAGAGATTAAAACTATCTTTTTACTAGTTGAATCCAGATTTTGAAAAGGCTGTTCTCTGCCCTTGGAAAATAGAGGGAGAAGTGATCATTGTCGAAGACGGCTCCTAGAACTTCTTCTATAAACGCCTGAGATAACATTTATCTGTTCATCCATTTATCTTACAGATTTATTTATACAATGCCCTTTGTAAAACCATGTAACAGGCTGATGCCCTACCATTCTTTCTGGATTCTCTTAGGAAAGTATCTGTCCGTTCAAAGAAGGAAGAAAATAGAGACAGCTACTTCTCCGACCCTCTCCTTTAAGTTTCCTTTCCCCTAGGTTAGTGGGTTTACTCTCTACTAAAGTACCATTTTCAAATCTTTCTCGTTACGGTATCGCTTGCCATCGGACCACCTTTCTGTTTTACTGCCTTTGTGCGCCTGTTTTCTCGTTCCGATATGTTCGTAGTGAAAATTTCCGGACAACTTGTGATTTAAGCGATAAACGGTGAATGTTTCAAGTTTAGTGCCACGCGCCGAAGTGTCAATGGAGGGGGAGGACCTCCTCCTCGCGCCCGAGGATTACGGTAGCGCTGCAGCTCGGCTAAATTGACTGCGCTATTTGAATGATTGGCTTGCAAGTGAGAAGATATTTACGCTATGCAGGCCCCTTATTGGCCCTATATTTAGCCTATGCATTAAACGGCTATTTATCCCACTTCAATATTGTACATAAGCATTTCGATGGAACGAAAGCAACGATTGAATTGATCTAGTCGGGTTTCGATCTATTTGAAGAAGTTTAGCTCTTTTACATGGATATGCTGCTGACGAGATAAATGCCCACTGATAGATGTTTCTTTTTTAGGTCCAAGATCCCGAAAACCAAGAAAACGTGAGATGTCAGAAGAGGAAAAGCGACCTCGTACAGCCTTCACTCCCGGACAATTGGATCGACTCAAGAAACAGTTCCTCGATAACAGGTACATTTGTGGGTGCATAAAAAGCAAAAAAAACTTGATTGTTCGATCGTCATGTAAAGTAGTGGACTGTAGCGCAATTTAGTATAAAATAACGTGATACTGCACTGCTCCGAATATCGTGAGAAAAAAGTTTAGGAAGGAGATTAAGCTCGATCTGTCATTTCCGTTTCGTA